CTACCCCAAAATATACAATAGTCAAAATTCCAAAAATTCAACACAAGAATAGAATATTAAAAGCTGTTACAGAAGGAAAACAAATCACTTATGAAGGAAAACCCATCCAAATCACAGGAGACTTTTCAAAATAAATCAAGTGAAGGAGGGCTCGGAGTGAAAAGTATTTCAAGCACAAAAAGAAAACAACCTCCAACCCAGATTGATATACCCCACAAAACTATCTTTCAAAATTGATGAGAAGATACTACCATGAAAAGACCACCTGAAGAAATTCATGTCCACCAAACCAGCAATCCAAAATATTCCAAAGGACATTCTAGAAAAATATAATGAGAACCACAGATCCATTAACCATAGCAGAATGAATCTGCCACACAAGGCAAGCAATTAAACAGAGGGGAAAGAAAGGGAAACAACAACAGGAAAATAACATGACAAGGATTAGTCAATACATATCAGTTATAACCATCAGTGTAAATCAATTCACCAATCAAAAGAAACAGGCTGTCAGAATGGATCAAGAAACAAAATCCAACAATATATGCATACAAAAACACATTTAATTCAAAAATAAATTCATAGATGAAAGTCAAAGGATGGAAAACAATACTCTAGGTGACAAGAACCTGGAAAAAGCAGGGGTAGCTATTCTACTTGCAGACAAAGTGGATCTCAAGCCAAAGCTGATTAGGAGAGACAAAGTAGGTCATTATATCTTTGGAAAGGGAACACTGCAAGAGGAAGAGAGCATGATCAGATGTATATATGTGTACCAAATACCAGCATACTCAACTATATAAAACAAATATTAACAAACACGAAAAGTCAAATAAGCACTAATACCATCATAACAGGAAACATCAATATCCCACTGTCACAGACAGATCAACTTGACAAAACATCCATGAAGAAATGTCAGAACTAAATCAAACTTTTGAACAAATGGACATAGACATCTGCAGTGTTCTACCCACAATATCAGAATACACATTCTCATCTGCACATGGAAGGTTCTCAAAATAGAAGCATGTTCTATGAACTAACATGTCATAAGTAAATGCAAAAGAAATGAAATTATCCCACACATATTATCAGACTATAGTGCAATGAAATTGAAAATCAATGGCAAAAGAAACTATAAGAATTTCATAAACACATGAAAATTAAATAACCTCCTGAACAACCAATGGGTCACCATGAAATTGAGAAATTAGTTTCTACAATTAAACAATAATGCCAATACAATTAAAGCAGTCCTATGAGGGAAATTTATAGCAGTAAATTCCCATATCAGAAAAACAGAGCTGGCTCAAATAAACAACCTAATGTTGAACCTCAAGCTTCTAGAAAAAGAAGAGCAAGTGCAAAGCTTGTACAAGGGAAGAAATCAAAGATCAGAGCAGAAATGAATGCAACAGAGACTAAGAAAACAATACAAAGAATCAATGGATCAAAGAGTTAGTTCTTTGAAAGATTAAATAAAATTGACAAACCCTTAGCCAACCTTATCAAAATAAAAAAAAGAGGAAAGACTCAAATCCATTCAATTAGGAATGAAAAGGGTCAGGGCTGGGGTCTTAGCTCAGCGGCACTGTGTCTGGCTCACAAGCGCAAGGTTCTGAGTTCAATCACTGCACAAAAATGAAAAGGAATTAAAAGGGTGAAAGCACATCAGATCCTTTAGAAATCCAGAAGACCATCAATACCTACGTCAAAAACCTGTATTTTAATAAGACGGAAAACAAAAAAATGGACAGATTCCTAAAAACATATAAATCAAGAAGATATAAAATTTTAAATAAATGAATATCGATGAATGAAATTGAAGATGGATTTTAAAACCTACCAACAATACTCTGCCCTAATGGATTCACTGCTAAATTCCACAAAAAATTAGAGAAGATCTAATGCTGCTACTTCTCAAAATCTTAAATAAAAGTGAAAGGGAAAAAATACTCCTACATTTATTTATTCCTGGAAGAAAGCACTACCCTGATACCAAAATCAGAGAAAGTTCCCACCAAAAAAGAGAACTACAAGCCAATCTCCCTAATGAACATAGATGCAAAAATCCTCAATAAGATACTAAGCAAGCAAAACACAGCAAATTATCAAGAAGATTTTACACCATGACCAAATAGGATTCATCCCAGGGAACCATATACAAGTCAATAAAGGTAACACACCATATTAACAGAGCCAGGGACAAGAATCCTATGATCATCTCAATAGATACAGAAAAAGTGATGGAAAAGTGCAACACCCACTCGGGAAAAAAATCTACAGAAAATTGGAATAGATGGGCTTTATCTCAATCTGATAAAAGCCATCTATGACAAACCAACATCATCATGCTAAATGGACAAAAACTGAAAGCTTCTGCTCTAAAATCAGAATAAGACAAGGATATCCACTGTCACCACTCTAATTCAACATAGTTCTGGAAACATAAGCCAGAGCAATTAGAAAAGAGAACTAAAGAAAGAAAAGTAATAAGGATAGGAAAGGAAGAAGTTAAATTATCATTATTTACATAGAAGACCCCCAAAACTCCACCAAAAGACTTCTAGGTTTGATAATCAAATTCAGTAGTACAGCTGGATACAAAGTCAACACTCAAAAATCAACAGCATTCCTTTACAGAAATAAATTCAGAGGGCTTTGCAAGCATGAGAACCGGAGTTCAATCCCCAGTACCAAAAAAAAAAAAAAAAAAAAAAAAAACACTAAGAGAAAAATGAGGGAAACAAGACCTTTCACAATAGCATCCAAAGCAATGAACTATCTCAGAATCAATCTAACAAAGGAAGTAAAAGACCTCTACATTGAAAACTACAGTGCTCTGAAAAAGGAGATCAAAGATGATACCAGAAATGGAAAGGTATTTTGTTGTTGGGTAGAAAGAACCAATATAGTGAAAATGTCCATATTTCCAAAATTGTTATACAGATTTAATGCAATCCCCATCAAAATTCTAATAGTACATCTCACAGAATTAGAGAAAACAATCCTAAAATTCATTTGGAATCAGAAGAGACCTAGAATAACAAAGCAATTCTGGGTGACAAAGTCAAGGCAGGGATCTTCACAATCCCTGACTTGAAATTATACTACAAAGCTATTGTGATAAACAACATCATGGTACTGATTTAAAAAAAAACAAAAAAACAAAAACGAAAAACAGACCCAAGGATCAGTGGAACAGATTAGAAGGTGCAAAAACAACTCCAAACATACTCATCTACCTCATCTTTGACAAAGGAGCCAAACACCTTCACAGAATTAAAGATTGCCTCTTTAATAAATGATCCTGGGAAAACTGGTTTTCCACATGCCAAAGATTAAAACTAGCCCCATATCTCTCACCATGCATTAAACTAAAATCAAAGTGGATCAAAGATCTAAATATCAAAACAGAAACTCTAAATCTTCTGGAAGATAGAATAGGAAGAACTATTGAAGACATAGCTGTAGGTGAAGACTATAAACAAAACCCCAATCACACAGGAAATAATACAAAGAATCAGCAACTGGGATCTCATCTCAATAAAAGCTTTTGCACAGCAAAAGAAACCATCAACAGAGTGAGGAGACAACCCACAGAGAAGGAAAAAATTTTTGGCAGCTGCTCCTCAGACAAAGGACTAATATCTAGAATATATAAAGAACTCAAAAAAATCAGCTCTCCCAAATTTAAAGACCCAATCCAAAAACAGGAATCAGAAGTGAACAGATACTTCTCAAATGAAGAAGTAGAAATGGCAATAAATATATGAAAAAATGTTCAATATCACTGATCATTCAAGAGAGGCAAATGAAAACAATACTGAGGTTCTGTCTCCCTCCAGAAAGAATGGCTATTACCAAGAAATCAGCCAATAACAAATGATGGCTGGGCTGTGGGGAAAAGGAACCCTTCTCCACTGTTGGTCAGAGTATAGACTGGGGCAGCTGCTGTGGAAATCAGTGTGGAGATTCTCAAACAACTAAAACTAAAGGTTCCATTCAACCCAGCTATTCCCCTTCTTGTTATCATCCCAAAAGAATCAATAGCATCATACCCCAGCAGTATATACACACCCATGTTTGTAGCAGCACAGTCTGTAATAGCTAAATCTTGGAAACAGCCCAAATGCCCATCAACTGATGAATGGATAAAGATGTGGGATTTTTTTATACAATGGAGTATTACTCTAGCTAAATGGATGCACCTTAACACTGTAGTCTTTTTGCGGGGGGTGGGGGGGGAGGACAGGGTCTCACTACGTAGTTGACACTGACCTGGAACTAACTATGTAGCCCAGGCTGGTCTTGAACGCACAGCGATCGATCCTCCTGCCTCAGCCTCCTGAGTGCTGGGATTACAGGCATGCGCCACCATGCCAGGCTTGAGACCGTACTCTTAAGTGAAATAAAGTGGAAACACATGTTTAAATACATGTTTCTCTGGTGTGAGAAACCAGAAGTAGAAATGAGGAGCAAAATGTAAATTGATATTGGGAAATGGGAAGAAACTGTTCAAATGAGAAGGGGAACAAGGGAGGGGGAGGAGGAAAGGAAGGAAGGGACAAGGAAAAAAGAATAGAAGGAAAAGTGGAAACAAAGCTTTTGTAAACAAGGAGAGGAAGAGGGTTGAAAGGTAGAATGGGGGGGGGAACAGCCGCAAGATCTACCATGTGCGGGCGCCAGTTCCCTACGCGGATGTTATCATTATGTGTACCTAAAATGTACCAATAAAGATTTTGCTTTAAAAAAAGAAATGAAATTTTTCCTATAGCCCAACAACACAGATATATTCTCCAAAGAATACCTCACCTCGTTTAAAAGAATGGAAATATTTCTACCTGAGAATATCTACAGAATTCCAGAAAAGGCAAGAGCAGGAGGCGAGGGGAAAGGCTGCCACGCACACTGGTGCAGGCTGGGTCCCGCCCGAGAGTGCATGTCTAAGAGCCGTCTGCTGCCCCGAGAGAGACGCCAACGTGGGTACGGACAACCTTTCAGGTGACGGCAGAGAAGGGTGCTGTTCCAGTAAAACCAGCGCGACAGTCTTCTGAGAGGCAGCAGTGAAGAGCCTGGAAGAAAGGGTGCCTGTTTCTGACTGCACAAAGGCTGTGCGTGGTGCCAGGAGCCCTGACGGAGAAATGGTGTTTATGAAATGAACACAATTCAAGTGATTCTTTGAGATGAATTATTGTTTTAAATCAACTTTCCAACCCAAAAAGTACTCCACTCATGTTTTCTAAACAAGCAGAAGGCCACACAGTAACTGTTGGGCTCACCCCAGGCAGGTTACTAACCGGAAAGTCGCTGAGCACAGGCGGCGAATCATGGCTCCGAGGCGTGGTCCTCAGTATGAGAACCGGACAAGCTCATGGCCTCCTCCCCTCCCTCCCCTCCCGAGCTGTCTCTGGGTGGAGTCACTGCTGCTCTGCAGTCTGCACACGGGAGATCTGCCCAAAACAAAAAACGAAACAAGACAGGTAAACCCACCTCAGAGCACATCTTCCACAAGGGAGGTTCTGCGGCAGAGGACAGCATGCAAGATTCCGGCCCACTTCAGAGAACAGACCTGGTGACCGACACGGCACCACAACCCAGATCATCTAAAGAACACTAAGCCCGTAGATCCTATCATTCACGTTTTGGTGAATGTCCTTTTGGGGTTTTTTTCTGCGTGCTTGTGTATATTTAAATAATGGTGTCTATAGATAACCAAGATAGTAAATGTATACTGTTTTGTAAAAAAAATACAAGCATAAACGATATAACAACAGAAGGGAAAAGGACCCAAACTTCCCTAACATCCTAAACCAGAAGTCACCAGATGCCTGTGTCCTTCTGCACCCTAATTTCTCTGAAACATTCCCTATCAGACATTAGGACTGTCTCCCAAACCTGTGTGCTACACTAATACAACATCCACATACCCCTGTACAGCACTCCACATCTGGGTCCTGTCACACATGTTAGACAATGGCAGCACTGTGCATTTTATACTCCAACGGTATGCTTTCTAAAGCCTTGTGGATAATCAGTGTGTACCCTACACCCTTGCCGTGCACGTAACGAATAGAAAGCTGCTTTAAACTGTTACAGTGGCGTGTACCGCTGCATCTACGTTTGCGTTAGTGGACACATCTGTGATTTACATGAACTTAATTCTAGTTAAAATTAGATACCTATAGAGAAATAGGACCTCCTCCACAATAAGTCACTTTCCCTGGCTTCCAGAGACCTGGACAGTCTGTAGCAACATTAATCAGAGGGGCCAGGATTTAGCTCAGTGGTTCTACTGCCTGCTTCACAAGCGTGAGGTCCTGAGTTCGATCCCCAGAACCAAAAAAAAAAAATCAGACGAGTGTGGGCGCTATTGGAAACTTCTGAACCTTCTCTGTAAAATGTGTATCTTTTTATTTTTAGAAGGAAATGAGGTCGTTTGACTTTCAGCAGGCATAAAAAGCACCTGGAGAATGTGATATATTAGAAGAGACCACTCCCGCCTTGCTGTAACTCTCGTGTATTATTACTTTCCTGGAAAATGGCAAATATCCTCCCCTCCACCTAATGGAATAGTTTTGAGACTAGAAATTAATGAAACAAAATGAAACATAACATTCTGACTCTCTCCTCCCCTACTCCATTGCTTCTCAAGTGGAACTGGAAACCAGACTCCTCACCTGATACCAAATGACTAATTTAATTAAGTTCAAAGTGAAGTTCTGTTCTATGTGGAGAGTAACACAGTCAGCATAAATGTTTATAAAGAGCTTTTGAGATTTTTAGGCTATTGATGTTATCTGAGCTGTAAATGCCCAAATAGTTGTAGTTCTTAATGCAGACTTATCATAGAGAACTTTAAAAATATACATTTAAGCCGGGGATTTAGCTCAGCAGTTCGGTGGCCTGCCTCGCAAGCACAAGGACCCGAGTTCAATCCCCGGTACCAAAATAAATAAATAAACAAAAATATACATTTAATTCAAGGAGATAACCAATACATAATCAAAGAATGAGTAAAGAAAATTTACTTTTTTGGACATTATGTACACACATACACCCTTCTTATACTTCATTCTTCAAATGTTTTGCACTTTTAGGCTTTTTTTTTTTGAGACAGGGTCGCACTACGTAGTTGAGACTCACCTGGAACTCACTATGTAGCCCAGGCTGGTGTTGAACTCACAGAGATCCTCCCGGCTCAGCCTCCCCAGTGCTGGGATTACATCTCATGCCACCATGCCCAGTGGGGCTTTTTAAAAAATAACTCATGGGCCAGGGATTTAGTTCAGTGGTGCCGACACCTGCCTCACAATCACAAGGTCCCAAGTTCAATCCCTGGTACCAAAAAACAATAATAATAAATAGAGTAGCAAACTCGCTTCACCATGCTGAGACAGTTCAGTGAACAGCATCCCTCAAGTTCTGGGTGCAGGTGGTGGGTAGCTGTCTGTGGTGAGCAATCAGGGGGCACAGTCCGCTCGTCACCTGTCCAGAGTGACCTGCGCATCACACCTGAAGTGGCCGAGGCCACACTCGTGCCCACACAGAGCGGCAGGGCCGGAGGGAGGGAGGGGCCGAGCACACGGCACAGACAAGGGGCTCGGTTCACGGTTATCCCACGGAGGCTCAAGCAGCCCCTCGGGTGTCACCACCTTTGCTTGGCACGGGACAAAGCAGAGGCTTGGAACGATGAAGCAGCCCCAGCCAGACTGCGCGGGGGTCCCACACCCTACCAGGCACCACTCAGGACAGCATTCCTCTTCCTCTGCCAAGCAACCCACACCCTACTGCCATCAGCCGTAGCCAAGCTCCCAGAAGGAAGTCAGCGGGCACACACGGATCCGTGGTCCCGCCGACCCTCCGACTGCTTGCTGCTCAGTGCGCTGTCAGCAAGGAAAAGCCTGATTAAAATTAGACTCCTCCGGACAAGTAGGAACAGGGGAGCGGGGAAGTCACTCCTCCCCGCCATGTCATCCCAAAGAGCACCTGGTGGTTGTCCCTGCTTGCCTTGTCCTAAGAAGTAGAAAACAAAACAACAAAAGCTTAGGAGACTCGAAGGATACGCTAGGCAGAGCAGGCTGGGTTGGCCCTGCCAGGCCGTTATCCGGGTCGTCCTCACCCTGCTTCCGTCCCATATGGGCTCATAAACAAGCACGCCTCAGCAAGTACTCAGGGTCGGGCATTCTGGGCCAAGCATGGGTGCAAGGAGCCCTGAGAGGCCTGGGCGCCCTGCGCCTCATTCCGAGATCACACCCAGGGACTCCAGGAGCTAACTGCAGCGGGACTTCTGGCCTGTACGCTCCGGAAGCCTGGGTTGCCAACCCCTCCTGCGGCTGTCGCCACCCCGCCCTTGTGCAGTGCTTTTCTGTCACCCTGCACCACCTGCTGGTACAGATGCCCTGAGCACGACTTCTACGACCATCAGAAAACATGGCTGCTTTCCACTTGCTACAGGGTGTTCTCTCACCAAACGCAAGAGCCTGGACTAACACTGGCCCACAGTACGATGTGCTTTACGCCACGGCTCGTAGACCTGAGGGCCACAGAATTTGGCTGATGGGCTTCTGGAGAAACTCTGCAAGGCACCGTTAAGTGGGAAAGCAGTCTGGGGTCAAGGGAGGCAGGGAGGCAGTGGGATGGCAACAGCGGAGGGTCAGCAGCAGGCCCGGCACTGCGCGAGCCTCAGAAGAAGCTCACACCAGGGCACGAGTCATCTTGCCAACCCACTCCATAAAGAGAACAAAGGCCAAGAGAACAAATAAATTCACCTGTTCCCCGGTGTATGAGCAGCTCAAGCTGCCATTAAAAAGTACCACAAGTAGGGAGATGTAAGCCGCAGAAATTTATTGTCTCACAACTCTAAGGGCTAGAAGCCCAAGGTTAGGGGGTCCAGCTCCTTCTGAGAGACCATCTGCTCTGCTCTTCTCCTCAACCCTGAAGTCTTGCCGATCCTCCATCCTCGGCTGGCAGGCATCCACTCCGCCCTCCCCTCACCTTCCCTCTGGACGAGTCTCTCTCTCTCTCTCTCTCTCTCTCTGAGGCCCCATCTCCCCTTTTATGTTGGGTTAGGGCTCACCCCAATGACCTCTGCAAAAACATTCCCTAAACAAGGTCATGTCTGAGGCACTGGGAATCAAGACTCCAACATCTCTCTCTCTTTGGTGGGATGTGGGGGACAACTCAGCCATAACACAGCACCCAGGCCACTTTCGCCACTGCCCTCCTCAGGTAAAGGGCGGTGGCCTTCAAGTGCCAAGGCCTGAAGAGAGAGCAAGCTGAAGGCAGGAGGAGGAGAGAGATGGACCACTGCAGACAGCCAGGTTAGGTAGGAAATATTACGGGGCCTTTGGGAAGGGCCCTCAGCACAGAAGACAACATTCACTAAATAAAAGCTCAGGATGCCAAAGAGGAGAGCTACTGCACCCACATGCTCCCCTAGGGATGAACAGCGGCGATGGATACCTAGACAGGCATCAGGCACCTTAAGTGGGGACTAAAATCTCCCTAACCTGTTCCTTCCAGGGAAATTCTTGCCCCCTCCACCTGTGACCCGCTTCCCATTTGATCCCATGGAATCGATTTTACCTAAGCGACTCTATTTGCTGTAATCTTATTGGTTGATTATAGTTTTGTCCCACCTCATCATTTCCCATTGGATCAGTATCGTTACCTAAGCAATGATTCTTGTAATCTTATTAGTTGACTGTAGTTTTGTCCCACCTTGAACCTGCCTCACCTGGCTGTGCTCAATAAAACACCTTTGGAAAGTGGGGTGGGTGGGAACCCACTTCCCGGTCCCCCTTCTGTCTCTCTTAGACTGAAGCTGTCTTTCTCTCAATAAATTCTCCCTACTCTTAGCCTCTGTTGTTCCTAGAACTCATTCTTTGATTTCAGAGAACACAAATGCAGCATTTCAAACACCTGGCAGGTGGGGAACTATAGAATTTCCCTTATGTTAGATTTCTGGAGGGCCTTGGATTATTTCCTTTATTTTGATTACTTGGTGCCCTATATCAGAGCCATCTCATTAGTATGAACTATTCTCATGACTTCAGAAAATTCTATTTTAAAATGTCCCCACACAGCCAGGCTAGGTGGCACACTCCTGTAATCCCAGGTACTCAAGAAGCTGAGGCAGGAGGATCAAAAGTTCCAGCTCAGCCTGGGCAATTTAGCAAAACCCTGACTCAAAAGGGAAAATTTTTAAAGGCTGTGGATCTGCCTCTGGATAAAGGCCCTGGGTTCCACCCCCAGTACTGGAGGGAAAAAAATCACTGTCGAGGGCTTGTCCTCCATCGCCTGGCGAGCAGCACTGCGCTGATGTCCCCAGGGATCTGCCGGCCCAATGGACTCCACCTGGTCCTAGGCGCCCTGTGCAGTGGATGCACACACACTCGTTCCCACGGTCACCTCAGTAAAACACATGGAA